TTCAATGTTTTTATTACGTGAGCATCTTTCCTATTAAAAGTACAACAATTCGGATCATTGAAGCATACGCCGCTTACTTGTAGTTAATAAGATACTTTATATTTGCTAGCGATGCTAAAAGCCCAAGTGAATGACCGATTCATTCACAGACACAAAATATTAAACACTAACGTTAAAGAGTTGTTTTATGGAATCATTAAACTTGTCGCTGACGAGAACAGGACTTGTTCTTAAAACGACTTTTTGTCTGGATACTTTCGTGCAGTCAATGGAGGTATAAGAGGGATTTAAGCATAAATAAGTGGAATGAAATACCTCCACAGTGGTATGCTCGCTCATCCTGGAATCTGCCAAACATTTGAACGCTTCCCTGCTGGTTACCAGGAATATGAACTTTAAATCTACAGGATATAAAACGTATTTTTACTGACAATTTGTTTTTGCAATTTCTTGAAGGAAATGCCGAGACATAAATTAAAATGACCAACAAATGAGCAAAAGACTGTCAAAAAGCTATCAGACAAGTAGCGGTGCCTGTTTGTTCCACTTGATAACTTTTTATCAGATCTGGAAATGCTTTTTTAATATTATGAAATAATATAAAAAGTAACAATTTGTCATATAATTTGCTTACGTCGATAAATAATTGCAATATTTCTAATGGGATACTTTGATATTTTTATTAGACCTAGATATTTCAGTAGCAAAATACCCTTTGAAAACATTATTAACAGTGCTTGATGTCGCAACTTAATAGACTCCAAGCGAAATAAAAAAACACTACATAAGTTACATAAAGTTATTATTTGAAATTGATGTCATGCCATGCAAAGCAATGAGTGAACAATGAAAGCTGACGGACAGGTCACAGCCGGGATGCCAGCCCACACTTTCCTTTGGGGAATTCATTTGAAAGCTCATTTTATGATCGCGTTATTTTGTTTCAGGCGAGACGTCCCGCCTGTAAAATAAACGTAGCTGCATTACTTTGCGCAATCAAATCATTTATAGTGTTGTAAACCTTAATATTCAATTATATAATCGTTACGAGCGTATATAAAAATATTATTAGTTTATTAATAATTTTATAACTACCAAAAACGGGTTTGCATCAAACGATCATAGTTGCTACCTATTCAAATCTGGTTTTTTGTTTATAATTGCTGTTATTACTAGTAGGTATAACTATGTAATTTGTACCTACCTATGTTTTATACCTAAACCTTCTAATAAGTATATAGATATCATGGCGAATTTTACTCAAGCTGATTGTTTTGGATTCGAATGACGTCATTTTTATAATACAACCTAATATTTTTATTTTATAAGTTATTATTATTAATAAACTTAAAATTGACGACGAAATTATGAAGTTTAATGATTGAAATTTAAAAATAATTCGCTACAGTGATATTGCCTGCATAAAAAAACAAAATACTCTAAGGCCTGCCAGCAATGCAGTCCAAGCCTTGCACCAAAACTGCATTACGCCATGTGCAAAGAATGGCAGGTGCAACCGGCGGCGGCGCAAGGTGCTTTCACAACGAACTCAGTGTTTCAATGTATACGTTTATTATACATAATATAAATTTATAGTAACACTATAAATATCCAATTTCTCTAACAGTTTAGGTAATCGCTGTTAAATAAATTTACATATTCACAATATTGCAATTATGTTTTTTCTTAATAGTGCGCCAGAAACTTGTTTCTAGGCGTGTCGAGGTTATATACGTTGTGGATATCCGCAAGATTTAATAATCAAATTATTCTAATAGAATAAATGTGCAAAGGAAAGTTTTAAAAGTTAATTATATAATCATTTTCGTTGATAATTTTCGACTATCTCTTTAGTTAACTAGCTATTATCAGTAAATATATAAGCGACAAAAGCTGGCATGTTACTTAGGCCCAACTACTATACTGACTAGACTAGATGAAATTGCAAAAATATATATTAAAAATATCTTCATACAAATCAAAATATATTAATATTCAGTGTAGGATGTTACTAGCACTTTTGAAAGAATTAATTTTTGAATGTCGTGTACACAAAACATTAGCACTTTCTAGTTTTCATCTATCGTTTCTTCGTCAAAGAGATTTTGTAAGTTTAAAATCAGTACCCTGAATACATTTAAATTTAAAACTTGAATGGCAATTTCCAAGATTCTGACTTTAAAAAATCTGGGCATGAGCGAATCATAGATGTGCTGACTCAAATATTGAAATTAAAAAATTATAGATTTCTTACAGGTTTTCGTAGAAGCTATAGGTAAAAAACTATTTTCTGTAATTTTGCACATGTTATGCTTATTAGATTTGAAATTCAATTATCGCCTATTTTCTTAAATAACTTGCTTCATATTAATTTTTAATTTCTTAATAAATATTTAAACATTATTTAGCTAATATGTCACAAATTATAGATTGCATTTGTTTTATTTAAAAATTACCTATCAAATAGATGCCGCCACGCTTCTTATTTATACTGCTGTCTTTGAATCACTATTATACACATCTGTATCAAATTTCAATCCAATCAATCGAGTAGTTTCAGAGAAAATCGTCTGTGATTAATCGGATAGACACAGCGATCCTCTAAGAATTTATTTTCTTCCTTTTTTACTATTATATTTACTATTTTTTTTTCAATTATATTTACAAAAATAATTTTTCAACCTTTTTCATAACCCATTAGGGGCAGAGTTCTATTTTGTTTACTTAGTGCTCATTTACACTCGTGACTATAGACTATAGAAGTCGAGAGAAAAAATTACTCGAGAAAATAACATGACCAAAGCAAAAATTTTAAAATAAAAGAGAATTTGAAAGATGGAAGAACTTCCTTAAAATAATAGTTTTTTAACTATTCTAAAGTAATAACTTCTCTCGACTACGATGCTAGTATTAGAATACTATTAACTTAATATCAGGTCTAAACGTCGCAATTTGATGTTTTCTCATTGTCGATTTGCTTTAGGCGGTCAATGGTTTAAATTTGGTTAATCAAGTACTGAGTTTAGTCTTCAGTCTTCATAATAAGACGAATATTTGACTTTTATGTAAATTTTCTAAGCTCTAGAACCACTAGAGCATATCGTTATGTTTTACTGGCTAGCAATCAGTTTCTATCTTTTATTATTTTTATTTCAATATTTTATTATTAATGGAATGCAAGGACAGGTATACCACCAAATAATAATGCATCATTTTATATAATTAAACCTTTATTACTTGGAAAACAGAACTCATATTATGGAAAGTGAATGTGCAAAGAATGAAAACTGAAACTCATCTCAAATATCTGGCTATAGAAGCACCAACTCTCACTTAATAAAAAATGTATATCATCCGAGGTCGTCTCTCTACAATGTGGAACACTAAATTGCACTAAATCGGCTTTTGCTAATTGACTTTTCGAATGCCCCACAAAAATATTTCACGAACTGCTGTCTAGGTATTAGAAATTGAATATTCCTAAGTGGTGAAATCTAATTTAGATTTGAGATTAGAAATGGTACAAAATTCAATTATTATTGAGAATCGGTATTGTAATTAATCAATCTGTATTAAAAAAAAAATGTTCAATATTTCTAATCTTTTTAATGCCCATAATCTATTGAATTTTAGAGACTCGAGTCAAGCGACCGCTGATTGGATAATTCTCTTGGAAGAGTGCTATAAGGATATGTCAGTTCTGAAATACTTCAAAGCAAGTAAATTAATATGTGAACGAAACACGAAGTTCCTTTTGTTACTACTTAGTCATAGAAAATAATCAATACTGTTAGAAAGGAATACTTCATACTTTACTGCGTTTTTATGTTGGTTATATGAGATAATTAGTAGTCATAAAATCTTAAGTCTCATTAAAGTCATCTTTGTGATTTTTAAGACCCAATAAAATTTATGTTTCCGTTTTCATTAAATATTTGATTACAAAATTGGATTTAATTAAGAAATTGTTTTTCTGTTATCTAGATTTGTAAGCTAATAATATGGTTCTGGACTTCACTGAGCAAATGGTAAAATTGAATTGATTTACAATACCAGAAACGCCATTTTTTAAAAACTAATGTTATTAATATTTATAATATATCCTAATAATACTACTAATCCAATATATTACACGAAAAATAGAACAGCGATTCTCAAAAAATGCTTCGCGGAGCTCTAATACTCCGCATATTACGGGGGTCCACGAAAATATTGGTCATATTTCCAAAATGTATATCATTATTAATAAAAAAAAATCACACTACGTTTTGTATTATTTTAGCTCTCCGGGTAAAAATTTGGTTTTCCAAACGATTCCATTGCCAAATAAGTTTCACAATTGTTGAAATACAATAATATAGAAAAAATATTTGTGCCCTGTATTTGTACCACGGATCTATATCCGCTATAACTAGCTCTTCATTACCATTTCTTGTGTAGTTATGATATAAGCATATAATCTATAGAAATGATAATGATTCCCTAAATGTGTTGCAAAGTACAAAACATCTAGACTAACTCGGCTCGGCTATTTTTCAAAATTTCTTTTCACGGAGAGATTTTCCCATACAAACTTAATGATATGAAGTTTGTCAGGTCTGCTAATTTAAAATAAGAATAAGATACATTCAATATTTATGTATATTGTCGTTTTCTTATAGTGCACTGTTCAACAGGCCTTATAGTTAGTTTATAATTATACGTATACTTCTAACTCACCAAAAGCCGCGTTGTGTTATATTATTATTCAACAGTACTGTAGTGCAGTAAGATATATTCATTCATTCGAAGATTTTTTCTATAGGAAAGATACTCTATACAAATGTACTCATATGTACGCTGAGAAGTATTATTATTTTGCAAGTGAACGTTTACTAGGCGCCTGCGCATAATTACTGCGCGCTCATCAACAAACTCCATCGACATGGAATATTTGCAAGTATAATCTGCATAATTGGCCTTACGAATTAGTTAGTTATTTTACTTAAAGTAACACTTACCTTCCCAAAAGCTTCTTTCGTATGACGATTTTCGGTCTTTCGTTTCGTTTTCAATCACCAAAGGTTTCCTGAAACAATATATGTTGTTGAACATTTTAATTTCTTATTACTCATATACTAGGATTCTACTGCTTAACTCAAAGACATAGCCATTTGTCAACCATACCATGACACTAAACGAAGAAAATAATGCCACCGTAATATTACATATAAAACTATGTAACATAAGCGTGCATTGTTATTTTAACTAAACCTGCTAAAATGTCAGCTTAATAGTTTGAGAATAAAGGCTTTAAAATTCATTTGCAAGTTTTGATAAAAAACATACAGATATTGTAAAAAGAAAAGCTTGTAACTCAACAAGCTTTAGCTTCACAAACTCTATATCTCAAAATACATATGTGTTTCGGCTGTTCAAAAATCTCTATTTTAATATAATTTTTTTTTTTTTTAAATAACACAATAAAATTATTCTTGTTTCAATGGAGACTATTAAATTATAAACAAAATCTGTGTTAACAACCTAAATACTCATGTTGTTTTTCACAAAACCTCTAAAAGTCGTTTCAATTATAATTTTAATTAATCAAGTGACATAATAGAGGTTAAATTATCTACTAACAGTCCACGTTAAGTCGTGTAAGAGTCAGTAGTTCGCGCTTTACCTGCAACCGGCGATTTGTCGCAATTTAGTTTAAAGCATGAACACACTGAAAGCTACTGTTGATATAATCAACAAAACATACTGGACCTTCATTTAATGGAATCAGATGTTAGCTTGCGGAAGTCCATTACTAAAACTAGTAGCTACTCCACACCTAGTGAATGTCTGCAAGACCAGCTGTGCACCGTCCGTACTCAAATTCATATTCACAAATGGTAAACACATGTAGAGTGGAAGTTGGTGATGTTTGCGAAATTTTTTGACACTTGTATGTTGATAGGTTGGCCAACAGCATTTGATCAGGGGCCCAATTGTGTAATTTTAAAATCTTTCACAATCCCTTTTAACATTTGAAAGATATTGACGAGCTTAACGCTTCAATAATGTGGCTTTTTTTTTTCAAGATACTGAATTAACAATATCGTTAATTATACGTTAATTGGTATTGTCCAGGGCAATCGTAAGACGCAAATATCAAAAAAAAAAGACGCAAAAATATTTAAGTTACAAAATGTTATTATGCTTATTGATCATTTAAATCATCATTAGTTCAGAAAGCTATAACGTATTTAAATGTTAGATAATTCCATCGCTATATTCTTGAAAAGGATTACGAAAGATTTTAAAATTAGACAGTCTTCGAATAATAAAAGGTCTTGCAAGTACTGACCGGGTAATTGCTAAATATCGTAGTTTCACAATCATATAAGACTTCACAGAAAACATCAAATCAACAGCGCAGTCAAATAAAATGGCAGGGTCAAAGGATAAACAAAAAAATATCAAAATTAAAATTAACTTAACTATTTCTTTTTTTAATTAATATTTTGTTATTTAGGCGACGAGATTTTGTTTTTTAACGAGCACTCTAGTGTCTATTTGGATCTATAATGACCTAAAACAAATATTCATGTGTTAGAAAAATGATACTAAATTCAGTTTCCAAACAATATCAACACAATAATCCTCAGATCTATCAATTGTAGCCGCATCTACGTAGCAATAGAACACTATCAAGCTACTACTCGCTTTTGGTATACTAATGCCCTTAGCTTCTTAAGTGACCAATTTCTATAATAGCCACAATTAGTGGCAGAGGCACTTCTGCCCAGCTCTCTAACTACCTTTCGTATTATTCTTGGCTATCTATTTAAAGATTACTGTTTTCTATTCCCTAATATGACTTAAAAGTTTCAAAGATAAGACTTAGCGTACACATACTTCCGATTCTAAGGCTTCCGATTAAAAGTTTCCTATATCTACATATACACATACTTTTCAACTGAAGGTAAAAAATACTAGTTCATGACTACACACAGCATATAAGGTCACCATAAAATGTAATCGAATTAATAAAAGAATTAAATAAATTACCTAAGTGATTTCATACATCTATCCAGCATTTTAAAGTTTAAAATCAGTTAGAGATAAGAGCTGCCTATTAACATTTATTTAACATTTAAAACATTTAAGAATATAACTCACCGTTAGCTAGATTACATGTTTAAAATAATGAAAATATCTTTACCTTCAAACACATTAAACTGTTGTGTTATTAAAAAAGATGCCTATACATGTGATTATCAACGCAAACGGTGTATCACATACAATAATTGAGTATAATTATTATTAACATTGCATATTTGTATCTACATTAAAATAATCGTACCCCTCAACGACGCGTATATCTACGGTTATAATAATAATAATTATAGAGACAGTTATTTAGAGTAGATAATTAATGTGCGCAACTTAACAATTACAGAATGTCGTATTTGTGCACACTGTTGTTGGAGCATACATTTTATATACATTGAAGATTAACTCATTATATTGTAATTGTTTAATCTATAGGTTTGGTTGATTTTCACTTTTGAACATTTTAATTATTTTACCAAATAAAGGAAATTTGATAATTCAAGCAAAACTAGACAGTCGTAGTTCAGATCCGTAATAATTATGATGGGAATGATATTTAAATACTTAATAAAGTATAACGTTAGTAATTCTAATATCATAAGTGCGAAAGTTTGTGAGAATCGATTTATGAATACTGCTTGTTACTCTTTCACGCAAAAACTATTAAATGCATTTTGATGAAGTTTGCTAAATGGATAATTCTTTTATTATCATATAGGCTATTTTTTATCCTACTAAATAATTCCCTAGGGATAAGAGTACTTTCTAAGCAAAATGTAAGCCACGCGGTCATTTAATTATAAAAAAATATGAAATCTGCACATAGTTATCGAAGAAATACAATTATTAATTTATATATAACACGCAAGCCATCTCGTACTCTACAATAAAGGATTACTTCAAAGTATATTTGTGTAAATTTCCATTCTTATTATATTAAAACTCTCATTAAATAAATAATTGGAATTTTTGAGTTCTTATCGAACACTTATTATAAAAAAATACGAAATCAATCGTTAACATCATTTACAAAAGCTTGAATAAAATGTATAAAGTGGTTTTGAGTAATTTTAAAATATTAAGATCTGATTTTAAAATCATGAAAATGATAATTATCGTTATACAAATTAAATAAATAGAATTAGTACCCAATAGAATTCAACATCAAATTCATCACAACCATACCTATCGAATGTATGTATTTATAATTAAATAACCAAAATTGATGGAAATTAGACAAAAAATATTTTTATACCACAAATAACTCTGAATCGATTGTCTTTAACGAAATGTCAGGGTCCAATGCAGCCGCCGGCAATGGATACCTACTTATATTGAGAATGTCAATCGAATGTCGAATGTTCATATATAGCATTTTTTGTTGTTCTACGGAATAGGTTTACCCCGCTGCTTAAGTTATTTATTTTGATATTACATAAAATAGAAAGATGTCTGAATCGTGAAATTGCTTATTACATATAATAGTTTAAATGAAAACTTTAGGATTTCAATATAATGAGCCTGAGGCCCTTTCTCTCTGCAACACACAGGTACATGATTTATTTCTAGTTAATATTTTTTCTATTATTATTTTTTCACCTAAACCTCTGTAGATATAATGTAATTGTGCGTTACATTTTGAATAAATCAAATTATCTATCTATCTAAAAATGTACCTCAAAGGTACATTAGTAAGAGGACAAAGAAAAGAATTTTAGAGTCCTTGTATGCAAATATATAAACCTGCGCAGTACAAGCATCATCTAAATTCTAATGTCACCTGTCATTCTATTGGAGGTGTAAAGAAAATCCGTTTCGTCCGAATTCTGTCGCTCGGATTGATCTGCCTTTTTTAACATTCAAAGATTCGTTGATTTTTCTCCAACATTTATAGGACTATATTTGCTGCTTGTAATCAGCAAAAAGGTAAAATGATACGCGAAAGGAGGCATGTTGTAGCGGAGTCTAGCTAGGCCAGCCGGAGCACGTCGTGACTCCCCCCCGCGCCCCCGCTTTCCTCACTGCCGGCGCCAGCGCAAGCCCGTCACTCTCCGGAAAACCTTCACGTAGCTATTCAGTTACATCGAACTACCAGATCACCTAAACCTTTAGCTAAACCGGTATTTACAATCCAACGGCTACCAATACATGCAACAACACACATAACCTTTGTCAAATACACTTAATGCAATGTAAAGACAAAGCATTAACAAGAATATGAAGTTACGTTGAATTATTATTATTTATATCAATTCACTTACTTATATATTTTATAAAAATAAACAATTTGATCTCATACGAATATTCCATTTCCAAACCATCAATCTAAATCCATATCCTAGATTATCGTGAACTTAATTAGGTAACGCGAAACTTAATAACATCCACCATAATTTAGTTTTTCAGATATAAATAACAAATTTTAGTTTTTATCTGTAGCCACTGGCTAAAAGTTTACTTGTCTTAAATCTCCGAGATCCCGCATAACGCCTATTTATATTAACACAATAGGCAAAGCAAAAAACGTATACACTATTCCCACAGCATCGTGACACTAGACATCGAGCATTAATGTGGCTTTCAAATTTTCAATTGGAATAACTTCTCAACTCTCAGAATAGCTGAAAGACAACATAATTATCGCATTAAAATCTTTTGCATATTTGATGACTTCGCAACAAAGTTCTGTCGCTATTAACCTACAAATTGTTTTTTATACATCATTTTATGTGTGGAATAGGTGATAATTTATTAGCTAATTAACGTTGCTGCTCTCGAAAATGAAACATTGATCGAGAATTACGTAGATCATCAAAAATAAAATGTCTGGGTGTAGTCAGGTAAGTAGCGAGGTAGTACCGTTATCACGCACGCGACACTTCGCAGAATCGCTGCAGCATCAGGCTTCATTAAATACAGCCTTCCTCACAAATAAGGCTTACCGACGATCTACTAACGAACGATCGTATTTATATGTACATGTTA